AACATGTGCTCTGTGGTAGATATAGCATGTGTTCTGTGGTAGATATAGCATGTGCTCTGTGGTAGATATAACATGCACTCTGTGGTAGATATAGCATGTGTTCTGTGGTAGATATAGCATGTGCTCTGTGGTAGATAACATGTCCAATGTGCACAAGGCTCAAATCCTAGCTCCATAAAAAGGTAACAATAAGCAATTAGACGAGGACCTTTTGTAGCTGGCCTGTGAGCCTGAAGAACATAAAGAAATGTCCCTCTGCCCCTGTGGAACTGGACTATGAGATTGGGGTGGGGTCCCCTCAAGTAACATAGAGAGGTGGCATGTAGGGCTATTGCCAGCCCCTGCTCAGACACCTAGGACCACAGCATGGAAGGTGAGCAGATCAGAGGCCCTGCAGTGACCCAGCTATGGCCTGGTAAGGGGTGTTGTCTGCTATGCCCTGCCCCCAACCCTGCATGCCCCCTCAATTCACCGTGGCCCCCTATAGCTTCTCTAATTACGCAGCCATAAAGCACAAATCTCTAACGATCCAATTAGTAACGCCATTGCTGCCCTGTCCAGGATTAATTACCAGTTAAACTGCAGCTGGGTTACCATCACTTAGGCTCAACATGATGGGGTGCTGTGGGCCGTGAGGGACCTGCTTGGCCCTGGAAGAAGTTTCTCCACCTGCCACCCCCAACGCCTCCAGCTGACCCAGTCCCCTAACACTGGGACTCCAACAGATTATAAGGCGGTGTTACACAGATCTGGCAGTGGCGGGGGTTGAGGGGCTCCCCGAACCCAGCTCCTCCAGAGGCTGTGTCTCCCTGTGAACAGAGCATCTCCCTTCAGTGCCCTGGGTTGATGCCAAGCTAATCCCAGTAGCCGAGCCACGGAATGAGGGACGGGGAGGGAACGCATCTCCATTCCGGCCCCACTGTGTCTGTTCAGCCCCCTTCCGACCTTTTTCTCTGCACACAGGTGCGCGGGAGGGGAGAAGGAGAAATCTCTGCATACAAAGGCAGAGTCCAGGAACTGACACGTGCTAGCACTTCTGGGCAGAGAGCCCTGTCCCCAGAGGTATGCAAACAGGCTGCACCCAGGCACGTGAAGGCAGGGCTACTCAGGATCCCTGACATCAAGGACGGCCATGGAAATGCTTAGACTGTTCTGGACCCCAGGATCAATTCCTTCATATTTTGTACTTTCTGGGCTCCCCCTTTTTCCCAGGGGAGGTACCCAGATTCTTAGAGATACAATGACTTGCCCTATAGATGCCCCCGGAGGATAAGCCCAAACTCTACAGCTCCAGGGTGCAGACTTCAGGCCTACACATCTCAGCACCGGGATAAGCCTTAATGTCACATGCAGACCGGAAGAGGAGAGGACCACAGGTCCTAGCCGGTCTCTGGCCAGAAGAGGTAACTTCCACTGACATGTCACCTGTGGCTGTGGAACCAGGGTGGCCTGAGATGCACCCAGCAGGTACCTCAGACAGTTGGCTGCACTTATAAGCAACAGACTGAGGCAGGAGTCTGGGAGGCCAGGGCTCTCATCACCAACCTTGTGTCTCCTCTATACCAGATACAGTGATGGCTTAGGAAGGGAACCCAGAACAAGGGCCGGGCTGGTGACACTAAGGCTTCCTCCCGTCCTTGTCAAGTCCTGATTCCCAGTGAGCTTCACAGTCTGTGGTTCTGCCAGTTTCCAGCCAGAGGCTCCCACTTTTCTAAGGGGAAGACTGAGGCCTGGGGTAACAGGGACAGAGTCCCTGCTGCCTTCTGTGCAAGACACCCCAAACTCTTCCTAACCCATTTCCCCCTCTCTCCAGCCTTCTTTCTGTTCCCCTGGAGGCTCTCACTGAGTTTTTAACGTATGCCCAAGGCAAGCAGCCTTTCTCAGGATAAGGGGCTGTATGTATGAATGTGTGTCTGGTGGTTTCTATGGTTACCGACAGCCAACCTTGCCCTGAGGGTCCTGAGTGCCTCCCCATTTGTGATCACATCTCTTCTGTCATTCGGTTTGTTGCAGGTCAGCTAGGTGAGGCCATTCCTAGACTCGGGATCATGGGAGCCAGAGAATAGGCTCAGAAAGTCTAGAGCCAGGACCAACGGCATCAGCTACCTTCACCTTCCTTACTAAGCCCCTCTTTGTAGTGGTCTGTGTGCTGGCAGCATGAGCCCATTTCACAAGACAGAAAACTGAGGCCCAGACAGTTGCCACCGTCAGGGCACGAAGCCAGTGACAGCCTGTAGTCAGGGTTCATCACAGTCACCCTGAATCCCACACCTCTGGGTTCTTTTCCATCCTCAAGTTGCTTCTGAAGGAGAAACAGATTTAAGGACTGTCCTCTCACGTCCCTCAGACGACTGGTCATGCTGTCACGTTTGATCCTATCTATTCCCTTCAGGAGCCAGACTCCGGAGGTTCAGAGGGGTGATCAGTACAGGACAGGGATCCGAGCAAACGGAGCCCATAGGTTCCAGACTGCACCCTCTCCTGGCCAGCCTGAGTCTGCAAGCGTACACACTTCATTATTCATCAAGTGAGTGCCTGGACGATGAATATTTTATTCACCTCCAGACACTGTCCCCACTGGGTTCTTGGAACAACGTTATTCCCCAGCCAAGGAGCAGAGGCCAGAGCCTCTCTTGTCCCTAGACACCCCCTCTCCCCAACCTCTGCCTCTCTACCCCATCGCTTCTTTCCAGTCAGGCCTTTTGGCTCTGTCAACACTGTGGCCAATGGTGCAGACCTGACCTTGGTGCTTACCTTCCTCAAGTTTGGCTTCCTCTGGTCACTGGTTCAGGCTGTCTTGGCAGGCTTTCCTGGGTCCTACACCACTTTCTTTCAGCTCAGGGCCTGCCAAAGCCGCACTGGGCGCTCTCCTTGGTGCTGAACGAGGGTGTCAGAGAGCAGAACGAGCCAGAGCGTGTGTGTTAAGAAGAGAGGCCTCCAGGGGCCTGGTCTTGGGCAGGGCAGGAACTCTGCCTCTCTTGGGAGGACAGAGTGAGTCTCTGGACTTGGCGAACCACTGCTGCTCTCGTCTTGCTGGGATGGCTGTTGAGGAAACAGTTTAAGCTTTCAGTGAATCACTCTTCTTCACTCTCCAGGCCGTGTGTGCGTGTGTGTGCGTGTGTGTGTGTGTGTGTGTGTGTGTGTGTGTGTGTGTGTGTGTG